TCACTGTGTCTCAGTATACAGCACTGTGTCTCACTGTGTCCCAGTATACAGCACTGTGTCGCACTGTGTCCCAGTATACAGTACTGTGTCTCACTGTGTCTCAGTATACAGCACTGTGTCTCACTGTGTCTCAGTATACAGCACTGTGTCTCACTGTGTCCCAGTATACAGCACTGTGTCTCACTGTGTCTCAGTATACAGCACTGTGTCTCACTGTGTCCCAGTATACAGCACTGTGTCTCACTGTGTCTCAGTATACAGCACTGTCTCACCGTGTCCCAGTATACAGCACTGTGTCTCACTGTGTCCCAGTATACAGCACTGTGTCTCACTGTGTCTCAGTATACAGCACTGTGTCTCACTGTGTCTCAGTATACAGCACTGTGTCTCACTGTGTCCCAGTATACAGCACTGTGTCTCACTGTGTCTCAGTATACAGCACTGTCTCACCGTGTCCCAGTATACAGCACTGTGTCTCACTGTGTCTCAGTATACAGCACTGTGTCTCACTGTGTCCCAGTATACAGCACTGTGTCGCACTGTGTCTCAGTATACAGCACTGTGTCTCACTGTGTCCCAACACACAGCACTGTGTCTCACTGTGTCCCAACACACAGCACTGTGTCTCACTGTGTCTCAGTATACAGCACTGTGTCTCACCGTGTCCCAGTATACAGCACTGTGTCTCACCGTGTCCCAGTATACAGCACTGTGTCTCACTGTGTCCCAGTATACAGCACTGTGTCGCACTGTGTCCCAGTATACAGTACTGTGTCTCACTGTGTCTCAGTATACAGCACTGTGTCTCACTGTGTCTCAGTATACAGCACTGTGTCTCACTGTGTCCCAGTATACAGCACTGTGTCTCACTGTGTCTCAGTATACAGCACTGTGTCTCACTGTGTCCCAGTATACAGCACTGTGTCTCACTGTGTCTCAGTATACAGCACTGTCTCACCGTGTCCCAGTATACAGCACTGTGTCTCACTGTGTCCCAGTATACAGCACTGTGTCTCACTGTGTCTCAGTATACAGCACTGTGTCTCACTGTGTCTCAGTATACAGCACTGTGTCTCACTGTGTCCCAGTATACAGCACTGTGTCTCACTGTGTCTCAGTATACAGCACTGTCTCACCGTGTCCAAGTATACAGCACTGTGTCGCACTGTGTCTCAGTATACAGCACTGTGTCTCACTGTGTCCCAACACACAGCACTGTGTCTCACTGTGTCCCAACACACAGCACTGTGTCTCACTGTGTCTCAGTATACAGCACTGTCTCACCGTGTCCCAGTATACAGCACTGTGTCTCACTGTGTCTCAGTATACAGCACTGTGTCTCACTGTGTCCCAACACACAGCACTGTGTCTCACTGTGTCCCAACACACAGCACTGTGTCTCACTGTGTCTCAGTATACAGCACTGTCTCACCGTGTCCCAGTATACAGCACTGTGTCTCACTGTGTCCCAACACACAGCACTGTGTCTCACTGTGTCCCAGTATACAGCACTGTGTCTCACTGTGTCCCAGTATACAGTACTGTGGTGTCTCACTGTGTCCCAGTGAGACACCACAGTTCAGTTGTCGCTAAGACAGATGAAGCTTTCTTTTCCAGGAGGGTCCGACCTGGTTTTTAGAATCAGATTCGTTATTTGTTCTGGAGAAATCCGATGAGCTATGCAGCTCATTTTCACAAATGTCGAGTAGGGGCGAGTCAGAACGTTACAGCAACAAACAAGGCAACACAAACGATGGGAGCGAATGGTGTAAGTAAGGTAAGCAAATCGCTATAAATTAATAATCACACTAAAACTAAACTAACGTCGCAGTCGGGGTGTCGATGGTCGTTGTCAATCGAGTCATTTGCGGTGTCATCTTTCAAACGTGCCAAATTTCAGACGACCACGCCGGCACACGATTGCCCGACTCTTGCGAATGACGCCACGAGATCTTTTGACGTCCGCTGTGAGCGAAGCAGACGGAGCGTGGCAGCGGTACGTTCATGGTTGGCACGCGCACTGCTGTATTAACCGGGGCGCTCTACCGGGCTCGAACCGCGAAGCTCCGCAAAAACCGGCGGCGAACGCGCTACCGCTGGGCCATTGTCTCCGCAAAGACGTACAGGTAAATCTAGAAACGTACAGGCGATTCACAGCGGTACAACCCGCTGTGCATCAAGAATGTCAGCACCCGTATTGTACAGAGAGGGCCCCCTTGCCTGTTAAAATCGGCAGTTCACCAGCAATGATTCAATCGAGCCTGACTCTGCTGGCTGCTGCTACTGCTGAGGCACTGCATGACGAAACCGATTCGGAGTTTGTTGCTTGTCTTGAATGAATTCTGCTGGCATTGCGCGCTCCCGGAGGAAGGCGGTGCCGCGGTGGGGTTGCGTAATGTTTTGTTTCGTTATCGACGTGGGTCGACGAATGTGTGAATGAGACATTGCCTGCGCGTCTGTGTTATTGTGCATGTCGGTCACCAGACCTTCATTTTCAGCCCGGGTCTGTCTGCGTTGGCGGCCCGGAAAATGTTTCCGCGCGCGGCACACCACATCCAGTTTACTATGGCTGTGGGCCAAGAGTCAGACGCCATCTAGTCCAGAGAGTGGCTGTGTCTTGTGAAGAAGATGTTGACTGAGTCGGCAGCTGCAGGTTACTGTGTGGCACTGCGGAGTTTATGGGCTCCGCTCAGATTAATTAAAGGGTGCGTGAGTGACGGCTTTGGGGAGAGAGACATCGGCAGCGTTAGTGGCCTCCGGGCGCAGTCCGTGGGGTCCTCATCTCCCGATTGACGGACGCACCCTCCCCCCAACATCCCTCCTACTCCTCGTCTCACCCCCTTTCCGCCCTCCCACTAAGTGTCACATGTGACAGCTGTCCTTCATTGAACCACATTCACCGCCACCGCCACCAATTCCATCACCGTAACCACTACCATCTACACAACACCACGAATCATCATCATCACCACCACCAACAACAAAACATCCGTTTAGCCTGTACAGACTGTAGGCGAAAGTGCTGTTAGCGAGCACCTATGAAGGCCGGCACAGCACACGAGGGGGTTGGTTGGCATCACCACGCTCGGCCGCTTTTGTCTCCCGAGTGGCGATGTTTACTCCACACCGCACCAGCTGCTACATTTTATGGTGAGTCGTTCTCGGGGAGGCCCAGGACCGTTTAAATAATCGTCACCAGCGTTGGCCGTGAGCGGGATTCGAACCCGCTATCGCCGGGTTCGTAGCGCAGCGCGCTAGCCGCTGCACCACTGCCACCAATACCATCATCACCATCACCACCAATATCACCATCATCACCACCACCAATATCACCATCATCACTACCAATACCACCATCACCATCATCACCACCAATACCACTATTATCACCACCACCAATACCACCATCACCATCATCACCACCAAATACCACCATCACCATCATCACCATTATCACCACCAATGCCACCAATACCACCATCACTACCAATACCACCATCATCATCATCACCACCAATACCACCATCACCATCATCACCACCACCATCACCATCATCACCACCAATACCATCACCACCATCTTCACCATCAATACCACCATCACCACCAATACCACCATCATCACCACCAATACCACCATCACCATCATCACCACCAATACCACCTTCACCACCAATACCACCATCACCACCAATACCACTGTCACCATCATCACCACCAATACCACCATCACCATCATCACTACCAATACCACCATCACCACCAATACCACCATCATCACCACCACCACCAATACCACCATCACCACCATCACCACCACCAATACCACCATCACCATCATCACCACCAATACCATCGCCACCATCATCACCACCAATACCATCATCACCACCAATACCACCATCACCATCATCACCACCAATACCACCATCACCATCATCACCACCAATACCATCACCACCACCAATACCACCATCATCACCACCAATACCACCATCACCATCATCACCACCAGCAGTAGGATCCCTCTTTCGCGTATCTGCTCTTCAACAGAGCAGACACCGCACAGACACCGCACGCGATCGGGGAGAAAAGGGCTGGACAAATAATTATCCGATCATGAATTTTATTCAAATTGCAGCACTATTTAAACAACACATGTAGCACATTATATAGAGACGAGTAACAGTGCACACTTAAAAAATGTCAAATGTACTTATCGGATTAATTATTATTAGTAATACATGTGATGCTGCATATAGTTTTAGATCCAGCGTCAACATGTTAAATTTCTATACTTACGGAATACACATGCTTTATTTATTTGTTCTCATCATAAGTAAAATTGTAACCGTGACACGCCAATAATAATTCCTAGATGACGTCATTGGAAGCGCTGGATGGGGGGGGGGGGTAAATATTGATTTCGAATCAAACTCAACACTCAGAGTCTCTCTACTCAATCGAACACGGGACGGTGCTCGCCATGGTGGAAATGCCACGATAATATATTACGTACACTCAAACACCATTTATATATATAAAAATAATACGGTGTTTTTTCGCTCAAACCCGATATGCGGTTGAGGCTGGCGTCCGGTTCCAACTCTAAACGAGTGGGTGGCAATTCCACATTCCTATGCCCAGAGTGCGTTAATCCGTAGGACAACTGCTATTGACTAGTGTAATCACAAAGTGATATTCAATGTATCGACCTCGGAGAGAGATGAAGGGACGTGAGAGAGGTCGGGGGGGGCAGCATAGCCATGGCTAAACTTCCAACGCGTACACATTTTAACGCTCCAAAACTTACCGAATACACCAACATCATTTTTATTTCTCTCTCACACATTCTTTGGCAACACATTCGGTCAATTGATCAATGAACAATTAGAGCCACGGCTATCAGGTTGTGTGTGTGTGTGTGTGGGGGGGGGGGAGCTGCTAACGAAAACCGTTAAATGTACCAACTATCCATCAGAGTAATCGAGCCGAGAGATCAAAGCGCCCCCTCTAACGCGAGCGAGGTTGTCCACGCTGCCGCCGTGGGGTTTGTACGCCGAGCACCATGCAAACAACAGCAGCAGCAGCAGCGAGCGAGCCAGCAAGCCACGGCAGCCACCCACACGCGCCTCGCCGCGAAACTATTGTTTGTCGAGCTGTCAGGACCCCCTAGCGTAGCCTCTTGATTAATGGGCAGCGTGGGCCGCGGGGGGGGGGATGGTGGTGGTGGTGGCGGGGTGGTGATGAACAAAGCGCCACCCCCGGGCCCTGCACAGAATCGCGTGGAAACTCCGAACGCAGAAATCGTGTGGGTGTATGAATGTCATTGAGGCCCTTTAGCCTAAAACAAAACAAAAAGAGGGAAACGCACCGGCGAATGTTATTGTTGTGTTTGTCTGTCTGTCTGTCCGCCCGGTTGTGTTTTGCGTGGTCGGTGAATTGCATTGCTTTATTTATTATTTCCCGTTTTCTTTTTCTGCTGATGGCGGCGGGACGTGGCGCGGAAGGTGGGTGGCAGTGGTGGTGATGGGAGACGTGAGTGGGAGTGCGGCAGAATGCAGCGATGGATTTTTGTTTAGGGTTGCCAAGTCCCGAAGGTGGAAGTTGCTGGTGAGGGAATGCACGGGGAAGAGGAGGAGGAGGGCTCACACTCACGGGTGCCTCTCTCGAGATTGCCTGGAATTCACTGTAATGGTAATTGGGAGTTATATAAATTATGTATTGTGTTAATTGGAATCACCGTGGTTTATTTATTGAGTTATTGATTTGGGAAAGCCTCGGTTGCGACTCACGATCATCATCATTGGCATCATCATAATCATCTGCTGCGGCGTTATATGCCTTATTTATTATGATAATTACAATAAATAAATCCATTACAGATCACCATCTCAAAAGTGTACGTCGTTATCTTCATATTAAATTTGTATTCATGATGTGTATCAAGTATATGTTGATGATGTTGCTCATAATGATGCAGATGATACCGCAGCAGATGATGAGAATGATTATACAATTTCAATGACGCATCGTGATATTTGACATCGTGTAATTCATAATTATTCACTGCATCATCATCACCACCACCACGACAACCATCGACATCATCATATATTGATCCATCATCATCATTAATTTCAGCACCATCAAATATCATCCACTTGCATCGCCATTATCTTAAACTCACGCAGTACGCGGTGGTCGCATTGACATTTCAATATTTCAATGAGTCATCCTGAGTGAACGCTGGTTGTATATGAATATAATCGCACGAAACCCCGGCACGCGTGCTCGTTTGCAGTTCTGACTGCATTGCACACGGTACGCTAACAATTCTTACATTCGAGAATTATGTTTTCTGAATGGTTTTGCCACATTCGACGGTAATCACTGAGCATGATCAATGACTGTCAATGAGTCGGCTCAATTTGTACAGCAGCGGCCTGAGCGTGTGGAGTGCGGTTACAACGCCGCGCGCGTCATTCATAACCCAATCACGTCCCGCCCGTGATGAGCAATAGGGGGAACACGCGCGCTCTGCTCTCATTGGAAGAGCAGCTACAGCAGCAGCAGCAGCACCATAGGGCAAGGCTTTCGTGTGCGCGTGTCTATGTCTACGTGCACCATAGTGGGGAGCGGTGGCGCAGTGGTTAGCGCGCTGCGAATACGAACCCGGCGACCCGAGTTCCATTTCACGCGAACGGCCAATTTCAGTTGACGAATATCGGAATCGGTGCTGGGTCTCCCCTAGGTCCACTCGGCCTTAAAATTAGTACCTGCTACGGTGTGTAAACATCGGCACGGGAGAGATAAAGGAGGCCGGGCGTGGTACTCGCCACCCACGCGGGGTTGTGTCCCCCGGTATAGCCATGTTGCAGCATCTTTGTGTTTTATGTGTGTATCTATGCGCGCGGGTATACATTACATTTGTACAGACACATGCGCTGCAGAATGTGTTCCCATATGTGTGGATCTGCGCGTATGTACATATACGCATGTGTGTAATCGCAGTAACAGCAACATTTTAAAATTAAAATCATCGTACGTGCCCCGATATGTGTGGGTTGGGTATACGGCACGGTACGTGTGTGTAAATGTACTGCATGTGTGCGTGTATATTATTTCATCTCATAATAAAGGTTTTTGGGTTCGATCGCGTTATTTATAAATGTGTTGTAACCCTCCACCACCCGACACGGCCAATCAGCAAAAAAGTGTCACGTTGACAAAAGACAAATAGTTCACTACTTTAGCCCACCGGTGTGTTGAAGAGTGAATCCACAACATTTACAGTTTGAATACGACGTTTCGCTGGTAATTACATCCAGCATCATCGGGCAATTCGCCACAATGGTAAAGCCCTCATTTGCTCCCGGTCTTAAATAGAGCAGCAGGGTGACGTCATCCTTTAACTCATTCAGGTGCAGTGATTTGAGGTAGAGGGGGGGTATTGTAATTATATAATCGATTGGTAATCAGTCAATGGTTATGATTAGTAATGAGTTGTAGATTAGTAATTCGTTGTAATGTGTGTTATTGTGATTATATGCTACGTTAGTAATCCGTTAATTAGTATGTGTTTCCCCTAAAAGGAATTGTAATATGTATTATTTAATAATACGCTTCCAAGCCGCACTAAGCCTGTAGCTGTCAGAGCGATTAAAGTTATTTCTATTTCTCTCAATTACAATGGCTTCTCTAATTAGTCTTTGAAGTAACTTCAACGTTATCAAAATCAATTGAGTGTCCTTGTTGACAAGTATGTTCTGCCACTGCCGACAGTTGTGCTTGAGATAATTTAATATTTCTTTGGTGTTATTTTAGTCTTATGCTAATGTTACGTCCCGTCTGTTCAATATAGCATCTGCCACATAAACAATGAATTCGATATACTCCTTCTGTTGATAATTTAGGTAATTCGTCTTTAGTGCAAGATACTAGTTTTTTTATTTTGTGTACTGTACCAAATCTTACTGTAATGTTTTGCTTTTGCAAAACACGGGCTAATTTGTCAGTTACTCCTGAGATATATGGAATTTTAATTGTTTTAACAATCTGATCGCTTTCAGCAGTGTTGCTTTGCGATCGTGATTTAGCATTCAGTGCTCTGTTAACTTGAGTATTATTGTAGCCATTCTGTCGTAATGCTTCTTCAACGTGTTTGATCTCTCTCACTAGACGTTCACCATCTGACACTGTTTTAGCCCGATGTATGAGCGTCTTGGTAATAGAGGATTTCTGAGCTGGATGATGATGCGAATCTGCATTCAGATAGGCATCAGTGTACGTTTGCTTTCTGTAAACGCTGTGTTATTTTACCGTTTAGGCCATGTCCAAGCAAAATATCTAGGAGCGGGAGTGTGTTATTCACCTCCATTTCCATGGTGAACTGGATGGCAGGGTTTTGTGCATTGAAATTATATATAAAATCATTAAGTGTATCTTTACCATGTGGCCAGACAACCAAAGTGTCATCCACATATCTAAACCAAAAAGATGATTTTAATGTGCTCGAGGCAAGCGCTCTTATTTCAAAGTTTTTCATGTACAGATTTGCTATAGCAGGAGATAAAGGAGAGCCCATTGCTGCCCCTTCCTTTTGTTTAAAGAAATCCCCTCTCCATAAGAAGTAAGTGTTATTTAAACAATGGTCAGCAAGTTTCGGAATATCTTTTGGAAACCCTGTATTCTTTACTAGTGTATCAAGTAATTTAAGCGATTCGTTCACTGGAACCTTAGTGAATAGAGAAATCACATCAAAACTTACCAGAATATCATTAGGATTAAGTTTAATATCTTTAATCACATTCACAAGATGTTCTGAATTTCTTATGAATGAAGATGTCCTACCGATGTAGGGCTATATTTGTTTAGTTATATATTTTGCTAATTTATATGTGGCAGAGCCAATTGTACTGACTATGGGTTGTAATGGGATGCCAAGTTTATGAATCTTTGGTAGTCCATACAGTCTAGGTGGTTTTGAGGCCCTTGGCTTAATTTGGTATTGCTCATTCTTAGGGATTAATGAATTTGCAATTATTGCAGTAGTCTTACGTTCTAAAGTATTAGTTGGATCTCGTTTAATTTTAATGTAGGTACTTTCCTCTAGTAAATTTCTAATTTTATTTACATAACCGGTTTGTTACATCACTACAGTAGTGCCGCCTTTATCAGCTGCCAGGATTTGGATATCTTTATTTACACGGAGCCCTCTTAAGGCTTTTGCCTCGTTAGAGCTAATATTTACTTTTGAAACTTTGCTATTCTCAATTATTTTGGCAACCTCGTGTCTAGTCATCTCTGCCTCATTATGTGGAAGGAGTCTTACTGCTGATTCTACCTCAGCAATGATCTCATCCACTGGAATTGTGCGTGGGGTAACGGCAAAGTTAAGGCCTTTAGAAAGGACAGAGATCATGTCACTGGTTAAAACAGTGTTAGTCAAGTTCATTACGGTTTTGTTTTTAAATTGTTCGTTTTAGTAGGGATTTGTTTATTATGAAGTCTAGAAAATGTATTCATTTGGTTAGTTTTTGTTAGATTAAACACATTATCAGCCGATTGTTGTGTTATGGTATCGATTATATTCCAATAATGCATGGATACACTGTTGCTTATATCTAAGATATTCCGAAACTTGCTGACCATTGTTTAAATAACACTTCTTATGGAGAGGGGATTTCTTTAAACAAATGGAAGGAGCAGCAAGGGCTCTCCTTTATCTCCTGCTATAACAAATCTGTACATGAAAAACTTTGAAATAAGAGCACTTGCCTCGAGCACATTAAAAACATCTTTTTGGTTTAGATATGTGGATGACACTTTGGTTGTCTGGCCACATGGTAAAGATACACTTAATGATTTTCTAAATAATCTCAATGGACAAAACCCGGCCATCCGGGTCACCATGGAAATGGAGGTGAATAACACACTCCCGTTCCTAGATATTTTGCTTGGACATGACATAAACGGTAAAATAACACAGCGTTTACAGAAAGCAAATGCACACTGATGCCTATCTGAATGCAGATTCGCATCATCATCCAGCTCAGAAATCCTCTCTTATCAAGACGCTCATACATCGGGCTAAAACAGTGTCAGATGGTGAACGTCTAGTGAGAGAAATCAAACACGTTAAAGAAGCATTACGACAGAATGGCTACAATACTCAAAGTAACAGAGCACTGAATGCCAAATCACGATTGCAAAGCGACACTGCTGAAAGCGATCAGATTGTTAAAACAATTAAAATTCCATATATCTCAGGAGTAACTGACCAATTATCCCGTGTTTTGCAACAGCAAAACATTACAGTAAGATTTGGTAGAGTACACAACATTCAAAAACTACTATCTTGCACTAAAGACGAATTACCTAAATTATCAACAGAAGGTGTATATCGGATTAATTGTTTATGTGGCAGATGCTATATTGGACAGACGGGACGTAACATCAGCATAAGACGAAAAGAACACCAAATAAATTTTAAATTCTCAAACACAACTGTCGGCAGTGGCAGAACATGCTTGTCAACAAGGACACTCATTTGATTTTGATAACGTTGAAGTGTTGTGTAAAACTAATTATTACTGGCAAAGACTAAATAGAGAATCCATTGAAATTGAGAGAAATAGAAATAACTTTAATCACTCTGACAGCTACAGGCTTAGTGCGGCTTGGAAGCGTATTATTAAATAATACATATTACAATTCCTTATAGGGGAAACACATACTAATTAACGGATTACTAACGTAGCATGTAATCACAATAGGACATTACAACTAATTACTAATCTACAACTCATTACTAATCATAACTATTGACTGATTACCAATTGATTATATAATTACAATACCCTGAATGAGTTAAATGATGACGTCACCCTGTTGCTCCATTTAGGATCGGGAGCAAGTGAGGGCTTTACCATTCTGGCGAATTGCCCGATGATGCTGGATGTAATTACCAGCGAAACGTCGTACTAAAACTATAAATGTTGTGGATTCACTCTTCAACACACCGGTAGGCTAAAGTAGTGAACTATTTGTCTTTTGTCAACGTGACACTTTTTTGCTGATTGGCCGTGTCGGGTGGTGGAGGGTTACGACACATTTATAAATAACGCGATCTAACCCAAAAACCTTTATCATGAATAATATTGGTAGCGAAAGCCTGCTACGTGTTAAACTGATTAATTCATCTGCCAGTCATCTCGGTCAGTCAACCCATGACAACCGGGGCTCTGTCCCGTGGCCACCTGCCAGCAGCGGAGCCGTCGACACTTCACGTGACCTCGAGGTGCACCTAGCCTGGCACAAGCACCGTGGTGACGCCACCGGCACTTTAGTGCCGACCGTGAATTCATTTCGATCATGAGCCTGGAATCGACCTTGGGAGAAACCGGGTTGGGAGCGCAGTGCCCTGACCACTACAACACCGCCGCTGTGCCCCCCGCTGTGGCGGCCTTCATAGGCGCTCGCGAACAGCGACTTGCCCCAGAAAAAAAAACAACAACAGCAGCAGCAGCAGCGCGTTGCGGAGCAAGGCTATGCGGGGCACCTTTGTCTTTGTAAATTATTTTATTATTGAATCCACGGGAAAGCCCTTCCGCTATTGCGCATGCGTGCGCGGGCGGACTGCCCCCGGGAGGACTCCTGCTCCTCCGCTGTATTTACGAGCGAGGGGAGGGGCTGCGCGGGGGTGAGGGGGGGATTAGGGGAGGGGTTGTGGAGGGGGGGGGGGTAGCAGGGATCTGTCGAGAGAGGGGGGGGGGGGCAGGGACACGTGATCCGTTGCTAGAGAAACATTCGCTTGCTCCATCATCACCCCCACCCCAGCCCCCATCCGTCCACCAACATCCACGCTTTTCATCGCCGCGCATGCTAAACGTGACGCATTGCAGCGGCCCGCAAAAACAACTGAAATGTCACGGATGATTTTCGCCATACTTCCCCATTCCGTGCACACGTAGATAGAGGCGCGTGCACGGTTGCACGCGGCAGTTGACCGTTGAACGGCGAGAATTGCCTGGCGCGGGATCCGTTCTCTCCTTGCACCTTTCAACGCAGCCTGCATGTCAATGGCCATTGATTTGTCATCCGAGATATGACGCTTTGGAATTAAAAACGCGCTGGGGTTGTGCGTGTTCGTGGGGAGGGCGGGGGTCGGTCATGTGACCTCACCGTAGCGAGTTCGCTGCTCCATGCAGAGGCTCGCGGTTCGAACACGGCAGGCCGCCCTGGTCACAGGGCGGCACAGGTGCGGAGATGTTAACTACTCCGCCTGGTATAACCAGGAGTTCGTGGGTTTGATCCCGACCCTGACCCCTGTATATTTGGAGTTTGCGTGTCTCTGTCTCCCCGTGGTCGCGTGGATTTCTTCGGGTTTTTTTCCCCTCCACATTTAAAATCAACATCACGCGCTTCGAGTATTTGGCCGCAATAAACTTCCACGCAAGAAGCCACTTGGTCGAGCTATCATTTGTGATCGCCAGGTCGCTGATGAAAATGTACTTGTATAGCTCAGTGAGCCTTACCTGGGGAAATGAAAAAAAACACATCGTTTAGTTTAATTTTTAGTATTTTACCACGGGTGTATGATGAATGAAAAAGCCCCGCACTACGCGCCGTCAGCTTCACGAGCGGACTCTGACGGTCCCGTGGCGTCATTCGAGACGAGTCGTGAGGGCGGCATCCATCGTGAGCCGGCGCGCCGGTGGTCCAAGTTTGCCAAGCACGAGAATTACGCCGCACGCTGCTCGATTTGCGATTAGTCGCGGCAGCAAACCTCGCCACCCGACCGGCAGATTAAGGCCCTCTTGGTTGCAGGCCAGGTGCTAAAAATCACCTTGTGCCACACAGGGACAGCTGCCACTGGGGGGAGGGGGGGTGCCCCTTTCGAATGAGACGCCCCGGCATAAAGGAGAGCGGCTTAAGCAAACACAGCTCATAAGGGGCCATCCATAAATGACGTCACGCACCTGGGGGTGGGGGGGTCAGACATTTGTGACGATGTGTGACGAGGGGGGGGGGGGTTGAGAAATGTGATGTCGCATCAAAATGCGCAACTTTAAATAAATATAGAATTGCTATAACAACACTAATTGTTATAACAACACTCCTACAATATCAGAGTGCAGCGTGCAGCGCCACACGATGACAATAGCAGTTTAAAGCGATTTGAAGCATGTTTTATTTTCAAAATGGAAATATGGTTTGGGGGGGGGGGGCAGAGCTTTGTGACGTCATATTTGAGGGGGGGTCTGACTTTTTGTGACGCCGTGTGACGAGGGGGGGGGGGGGGGGGGCAAAAATCGTCCAAAATCGCGTGACGTCATTTATGGACGGCCCCTAATCCATAATAGACGGGTTTTTTCGGGTTAAATTTAACGACACATTTATAATTACGCGATCTAACCCCCAAGAAACCCCCCTCTATTATGGATAATATTGGTCGCGAAAGCCCACGTGTTAAACAACTCATAATTGTTATTGGCGTGTGCGTGTTCTAACTGGTGGATTCACAGCTACTGAAGCTGTGGTTTAGGGGCTTGACGCGGTGGGTTGACCATACTTCACCACACCGGTCCGGTGAAGAGGGATGAAGGGGAGCACACTTTGCCTTGAGTACCTGGACTGGTATGGGTACCTCTATCCAGCGCCACTATAGCTACTCAGCACTAAAAGGTACGCAAGCCTCTTCGATTCACAGATTTAAGTCGATTCTTTAATTCACCACACATTTATCGAATTGTGCGTAAAAAAAACATATTTTTCTGATTCGTATGCGATGTAGTCAATGGGTTCGCATTGTCACTGCAGCCACTAGAGGCCGCTCTACAGATACGGAAATGTTAAAAAAAATTCGACTTCATTTAATTGCATCGCGACAATTTATCATGGGTATATCTTTACAGCCGTATTGTTTAAATTACCGGGCAGCACTTATGATTAAAATCAACAATGTCTATAATAATAATTATTATTCAACGGATATATTATCTCTAGCCTTTAGTTTTATTTTCGTGGTACAAAACCTCATCTTTTAAATGTATATAAAACTAAAATCCTAGGGTGTCGCAATGGTTAGTGAAATACGATATACACCGGAACACCAGAGTTCGATACCAGTCGCGTCCACTAAATCTGAACCGGTCCTGGACTCCCGCGTGATCAACCTGCACTGAAGTAATATTGCCAAACAACCCCTGCCCAATTGTCACGATGATGATGAGGGGAGACCTTCATTTAGTAGTGGATTAATTGTCAAAGAGCTAAATTATCTGAAGCCTCTCGTAAATCACGTGACTTGTGTGTGGCCACTCCCCCCCCCCACTCTGGGCTCCTCCCCTCTCCCTGCCCACTGTGAGAACAGACGCTGCTGCTGCTGCTCATCCGTGCGGCAGCAGCAGCGTCCTCCTCCCCATTCCCATCTCTCCGTTCCATCTCCATCCTTTCCCTTATCGATTCCCCACTATCTATCTTCTCTCTTGCCTTGCACCTTGTTCCACACATTATATATCCTTGCCTCCACAATTTACTCAGTTATTCCGCGCACATTTCAAACGTATATACGTATACATGTATCAAAACACCCCCCCCCCCTCCCGATCATGACGATAGCACCCATGATGAAATAACCCCCCACCCCCATCTCCCCCATTAAATTCGCAACGCATCTCTGAAAACATTGGCAGCTTTCTTCAATGAGTTGGGCGGCATCAGCAGACGAAGGCTCGCTGATTAATTCAACATGGGTGCGTCTGCATGGTCTCTCTCTCTCCGCACGTGCTCGTGGATTAGGAGGTACGGAAACACACAACAATTATCTCGCGGGATAAATCCCCTCCCCCCACCACCATTGATATTACACTCCCCAATCAAACGGGGGGAGGAGGGGGGGAGTGAACTCGCATTTGACACTTGCCATCGATTCATCTGGGAGGGGAGGCAGGCGAGATAGGAAAGTACCCTCGATGCACTCTCCATCTTTTCTTCCTTACCGGCACTCTAATATCTCATTCTTTTATTTTGCCCCTCCCTCTTCTCTCCCCCTCGCACACGAAAATAGCGGTCCGTGCGTCATTCGGTGCGGACGCGAGATGCCCGGCCGGCCGCTTATGTAAGCGCGCGCGCGCTCGCTCGCTCGTCCGCTGCCGCTGCCTGCCAGTGCGGACGCGAGATGGGAGCTCAAGAGGAGGATGCGATGGCCGCTCGTCCTCCGGGCTCCCGGGGCGCGCGGTTCCGTGACCCCCCCCCCCCTCACGCCCCAACCATCACCCCCCCCCCCTCCCAGGCCTCGTGGGATGCTGTGGCGGGCGGGCGGGGCTGTCTGAATGCGTTGTCCGTCTATGCGTTGTCATCGATTAATCTGTCATCGATACCATCAATCGTTGGCTTTCGTTTTTTATGATGATTGAGAAACTCCCGAATCGTTTGAACCCCTTCCCGAAAATGAAAAAAAACACGCAAAAAAGAGAGACACGGTCCAATGGATAATGATGTTGTTGTTTTATAGGGAACACAGGGACACGGTGGTGGTGGTGGTGATGGGTGGTGGTGGTTGTGATTGTTTTTAATGGTAGATGATTATGGTAGCGATGTATCATGGTTGTGATTGACCATGACGATGATGATGATAATGATGGTGATTGCTGATCAGAATTTTCTGGTGATGTTTTCTTGATGTTTGTTGATGATGATTACGGTGGTGATTGGTGGTGATTGCTGATGGTGGTGTTTGTTGATGGTGGTGGTGATGATAATGATGTAGGTAGCCTATAAAGCCGATACTAGGGAACGGGTTCTCTCAGCGGGCTCTAACAAGATCATATACTGTATATAGTATCATCTGATTGACATTAACCCACTATCATTATCACGACGCAATGATGATTATGATCATGATGATGGACGCTGTGGTGACCTATCATGACGCCGTAGCATGAACATTGCTTTGACAATATAATTAAAATCCTCATCATTATGATCATCGCTCGACAGTGAAACATTTTCACCATCGCCACCATCACCATCGTAGCCGCTCACAGCGATGTGATGAACTTGTAATCCACAGCTGTCTTCCCCACTCGCCCCTCCCTCACGCACCACTCACCCCTCCCTCCGGCCAAATCGCTGTGGTTAATGCCTGCACACAGTGACACGGGAACATCCAGAATTACCCCCGGCTTCGCAACCACCAGTGTCTCCCTCATACCCCCCCCGCTTCACCCCCCTCCCTTTCCACTGCCCCCCCCCCCCGTTTCCCTCCCAACACCCCCCGCTGGTGCAAGGCAGCTAATAAAGCTGCCAGAGCCCCGCAGATGAAGAGGGATGGCTCTGACATTTAGCGGTTTCGGCACTTTCCCGATGGCTACCTGCCATTGGGTCAACTCTCTCCGCTATCACCACCATCCCCAACCCCTCCCCCCCTCCCTCCTCTTCCCTCCTCCATGCAAAAGCGTAGACTCATTCTTCTGGCGTTGAATAGAGGTGAGGGTCCCATATTTTATAGGGAGTACACTTGCCAATACTATCTGGAAATCCAGCAGCATTTTATTTAACGAGCCTCACTGCTGATGAGATCCAGAAGGTGGGAGTTTTCTTGCTCATTCAGATGCTCCTGGAAACCCAAAATTAGGCGGATGGACCAACACATTCTTCGTACGATTTTACGTGGAGAGACGAGAATGTGACTGATGCGTAATGTCTCCCTAAATACGTTGCCACTTGTTTCACGGCCACCGAGGAGACGGAGCGACGAAATCGGCTCGTGCGCAGACGTCAGGCGGATTATCACGGCGCAGGATCGTGGTCGGTTGGCTGCATCTTGGGGAGGCATTCATCCAGCGGTGGATCGACCATGGCTGACGACAATGATTAAATTCTCCACTGCTACGCTAATCGATGATTGCGCGCAAGAGGTGCATCCCAATGAGCGGCTGCCAGCGAGGGGAGGAGTGCGGGGGAGAGGCGGGGGAGGGGGGGATTGACAGAGGGTAGGGGCGGGGTGAATTATGGATGGGGTTGCCCCGTGGCGATGCGGCTTGTGGCAGTAATAATGTATTAGCGGAGCCTTCTCTGGCAGTGCGAGAGGCAGCGTTTCACATAGCCTGCCGGGGGACCAGGCGCGCGCGCACGCCTGCTCTTTCATCGCAATGACTTCCATGCGGGCAGACTAGCCCTCGGCCATGGGAATGTGGAATTCCCTTCACCGGCTCTAGTTGCGCCAACCTAAGATAAGCCGAGGACAATACAATATAATAAGTGCTATTATTTTTGTATCATCATCATTATTAGACGTAGTCAATCCGCTGCTGGATTCAAATCTACTACTGCGTTGACCATAGGGGCCCACGGCTGACGTTTCTCGGCATTGGCAGTTGTGCAGAGCAGGGGAGAGCAGAGAGATTGGCGTCACATCCAGAGATCGCACTTACGCTGTGGTGGCTTGAAGATGCACTGGCGGTAGCGATATTGGTCGTGGTGGTGGTGATGGCACACAGATAAATCATATAAACCAACTCAGAGTCGAGGACGTATACACGTTACATTGCGATGCCTCTACAACACAAGGATCCATTTGAAATGTACAGATAAACAATTTAATTTACACTCTTGAAATAGGCTCATTTCCCGAAACGTCAGTGGTTTATAAGGCAGTGATCGTGTGTGGGTGCACCACTGCAGAGTGAGCGCCAACATATATAATTAGTAAATGTTAATTAGGTTCTGTAATAATAAAAAAACGCCTAAACTGAATATTTACGTATCTTCTATCACCGATTATATTGCCAGAAGCAGCGCATATATTCATGAATATATTTATAAGCTGCCTATCTAACTAAATTTTAATTTCTCGGTATTTTTAAATATTTAGAAATGCTATATCGAATTTTACGTTACGACATTTATATGCTACGAAGAAGTGCAGTTGCCCGTAGCGTTTGTTTATTTGTGCATATATATTGTTTAGTTATAATTCAGGGTTTTTTCTTGAAGAATAATGATGACAATTACTACATGCTGCTAAGCGAAGTTAATGACATTTAACCCGTGGTATGCACATTAACTATATATAAAAACAAAATATATGATCCTAAACATCGCTTAACCTATTTTTGTTACGTAAATGTGTGCTCTCTCTCCACGTCCACCAAATCATCTCGAACACAGACAAATAAAAGATAAAAAAATACAAATTGCAAAGTGCGGAACTTTTGTTGTTGTTGTTGTTGCAAACAATGCCATGAAAGAAACCCCCCTCAAAAAAAATGTGTGTGGGTTCAGCATCCCCGGAATTTCCTTTCTGATATTACTGGTCGGTGGGCGGGAGACACGTACGGTGGGAAGATTAAACGAGGAGGCAACGTGAGTGGGTGGCTGTTCGTATGCGCGCACGCGCGTGTGTGTGTATGTGTGGGGAGACAAAGGCGGCCAGGGGCGGTGCTGGCCACCCACTCAACTCGTGTGCAGTTCCGGCCTTGATAGGTGCTGCTCGTTAACAGCACCGGCCTGAGCAGTCTGTTAAGGCTATCCGAGGACTCGTTTTTTTGTCTTTGTTAGGATATGTGCTCGTGTGTATGATGACATGTGTGTATAATGTGTGAAGTGGTTAGTACACTGCGTGAAAAGGCGATCCACCTGACTTGACTTCGCGGTCACTATATGAACCTCCCATGGGCCTCCTCTAAGTCGACTCGTCCTTACGTGGGCGGCGCGTTCAACATTAGTACTAGGGAGACAAAGGCGGCTGGGCGTGGGGGTTCGTCGCATCAGCTCTTCTTGCGCCACGTCGGCATTAATAATAGGTGATCTCTAATTCGGTTGGTCCCAGCAGCCTGCATTGCAAAGGGGATATGTGCGTACGTGTGAAAGTGTACGTGAGTGCTAATCTATAAACGATCAAACAAAGGGTCCGTTTCATCACCAACAATATATACATCAAAATCACGTTTTCTTTTTTTTTACCATCCGTCAACGTAGCCGCCTTCCGAATAGTCGATCTCTCTTGTTCCAGCAGCATTTGTTTAAGCGGCAAAACAACCGCGCGCCACGTTTCGATTCATCTGAGTCTCATCATCTGAGTCTCATCAGCAGGGCGTGGCTATTCCAGGTGAGCTTCCCTGCAGCCAGCAAAGCTGACGGCAGTCGGTGACGCCGCAGCGGAGAGGGCGAGGGAGTGGTGGAGACGCGCAACGAGGAGCGGGGACGACAAGGGAGGTGACGCAAAGGAAGTGGACGGCAGAGAAGAGATGAGAGAAAAGAGGACAAGATACAGATCGGAGTTGAGAGGGGAGAAGACCGGTGATGACGGGAGAACAGGAGGAGAGGTCACGGGAGAGAGGAGAAATGAGAGAGGACGAGAGAGACCAGAGGGAAAGATGGAAATAAACGTCAGGAGATGATACGAGAGAAGGGAGAGATGGCAGCAGACTGAACGGTAGGAGAAGAGGACAAGAGAACAGGAGGAGATGAGATCGGATACGGGACGAGCTGCGAGAAGGGACGAGGTGGAAGGACAACAAGGGCTGAGAGGAGAGGACATCGTGCAGGAGAAGAGGTGCAGTGGAAGATAGCAGAGGGGACGAGAGGACAGGAGGTGACAGAAGAGGAGGAGGATGAGAGCGAGGAGGATAGAGGTAGGGAGGGAGGCATAGAGGCGGGCTGCTCCTCGTCAGCCGCCCACGCGTCCCGACACCCCCCCCGTGTCACGGCTCCTTTCTCACCCCGCGCCCTGGAGCCCGAGCCGAGGCCACTGATGCGACCCTTGCGCCGTCATAGAATTAGCGACCTCCGCGTCCATGGAGCATCCATCAGCTGCTCCCGCGTCTGTGTTTGTTATGCGCGGGGGGCTGGGGGGGGGGCTAGAGAACCCCCCATCCCCCCTATTCAGTTCCCGTTCCGTGCCTCTCACGCTCTGCTCAGCCGCGCGCTGTCAGCAGCGCCGCCTCCCACGCAAACGGAGATCGTCCCGATCCCTCTCTTCTCTTTCTCTCTTCCCCCCCCACCCCGCCCTCTCCTCCCCCGTGCTGACGGAGGAGAAAGGAGATCGAGGTGGGAGATGAGAGGTGTGAGATGAGAGGTGAGTTTGGCGAGAGCAGAGGTGCGAGATGTGTAGAATTGAGAGGGAGAAGAGAGAAGACGGGAGAGAAAGGGTAGGTGAGAGACGGAGGAAGAGGAGGAGAGGGGAGATGACTGAGTGGGAGATGGGAGACGTGGGAGAAGAGAGAGAGAGAGAGGAGAAGGAAGGAGAGAAAGGATGGGCGAGGAGAGATGATAGATATGGGAGATGAGATGGGGAGATGTGAGAGACCACAAGAGAGGAGAGAGGGGGAGTTAGGCGGTGGTGTTGCTGTCGGGTGTGCAGGCGGTGTAACTGCACTAATGCCCACGGCCCGGGAGGAGGGGGGGGGGACGACTCAGGCGCCAAGCTACGAAGCAAGGGGAGAAGCGTAAATGTACAAATAACAACAAAAACAACAACAGCAGCAGCTAGGGTCACAGCTCTCAATGCTCTTCCGTCTGTGTGGTAGCGTCGACAACAGCAGGATTGGGGGAAATCAGTCTGGGTAATTAAGTCATTAGTGTTGTTTGTTTGTTGTTGTTGTTTATCGAACCCATACTTCACCACATCACCAACCCATGCCAATTCCAGAGCGCCTCGCCTTAGCATGAGTCGCTGGCTCCAGTGAGCGACCTCATCCGTTACGCGCGATGAGCGCCGAGTGCGAGGAATTCTAAAATCACTCGCAAGGAGGTGGGGGTCCAAGGTAGTGGCTTCCCCCTGTCCACAACGCGACGCGCACTGACGTACATATCAAAGACAAATATCCCCCGTATAGCCTTAACAGACTGTTCGGGCAAGTGCTGTTAGACGGCACCTATGAAGGGCTGGCACGGCACACGCCGGGGTGGGTAGCCAGCACCACGCCCGGCCACCTTTGTCTCCCTCGTGGCGATTGTTTGCTCATCATTTGAAGCTGAGTCGACCTAGCGGAGGCCTAAGACCGGTTCGAATATTCGCCACTATTCATCGAGGCTATTGACGAACGCGTTTGACTGTGTTGTTGGTTGTACTTCTTGTGCACCACTGCCAACGCAGCAGCACCGATTACTCATTTGTTTATCGAAGAAGACAAGCAGCAGTGTGACGCTGCCACGTGTTCGCAGTAATGCCATTTGGAAACCTTATTTTTATTGTCAGCCGCAGCAGCCGCGGCGGCAATGATCAATGGATATTTCAACAAAACACCGACACGACAGAGAAATGAGACATTAGCCTCCTGTCCTCCGTGACGCACATCCCTATGGTCTCGTGGAAGAAAGCACCCCTCCCCCCACTCCTTCCCTACCCAATCCCCCCACCTCGAACCAACATCAAAACGCCACCCCCCCCCCCGCCCCCATAAATAAGTACGGCAATAAAATGCGTTCGCACGCGTGCAGGGAGAAAGATACGCGCGCGTCAAGCCGCCGCCGCCGCCGCCGCCTTATTATCGCCAAATCGTGGGATGACGACGGTGGAAATGAGACCGGGGCGACTCCGATCCCGTGGAATGGGGGGTTGGCCTCCGATGTCTCGTGGAACAGAGGGATTCTGGCTCGGTTCCTTCACAGGATCGGCTCCTTCACAGGCTCTGCTCCACTGGCTTGCCCTATGCCCCTTCCCCGCGAGACGCCCGGCGTCTGATCCCCACGTGGCTTTGATTTGTGTGTTTGTGTAATGCCTCCCGCGTTGTCGCTTTTGTGTACGATCCTGTTGCGGTATCGGGAATTGTTTTTTGGTTAAATGATGAAATCACCACGTGATGAACACGGACCGCGCTCCTGACGAGGGAGTTGGGTTATTTTGGTTGCTCGTGTGATGATGCGATTATGTGGTAGTGTATGTTTGAATCGTAGTACTGTATATATATACACGCTGCGGTATTATTGATGAGTTTAGTAAGACTGTTAGGG